CTCGGGGCCCGTGTCTTCGGGCGGGGGCTGCTGCTCGCCGTCTCCGATCTGGGTATTCTCCCAGTCGCTGCCGTCGCGGTTGAGTTCCGCCAGGGGTCCGTCCGTCGCCCACTGGCGCGGCGCTGCGGCGCCGGTGGCGCCCAGCCTGCGGCCCGGCGGAGGCCCTAGTAGGTCCTGGCCTCCATGTCCGCCGCCTCCTGGTTGGTTGGCGGACTTGTTCCTGGCCGCCAAGTAGTTCGACGCGTCAGGACTAGGCGCCGCCTCATCCAGCTCCACGAAGACCGCTCCAGAGCGCGGCGCCCGTGCGAACTGCTGCTGGGGCCTGGAGGAGACGGCGCGTCACGTCCTCGCGAAAGTGTCCGTGCCCTCTGGCGACCGCTTTTCGGGGTTGCCCCAGTCGCTCGTTGACGCCCCCGTCGGCGACGCGGCGTCGCCCGCTCCGAATGCTCCGTCAAAAAGCCAACAACTTTTCTGGGACGAGGGCCTCCACGGCTTCTCCTGCCAAGGCTGGGGCCGGCATTCTTCGCGGCACCTCCTGGCCCGCCACTGCCGCCTCAGCGTACCTGGCGGGCTTCCGGACCACCTCCTGGCCGGCGTCGTCGCGCCGCGGCAAGGAATAATCCCTCCCGAAATCTGCGATCTCCTGTCACGGCGCGAAGCCCGTCTCCATCCGCGCTGGGCCGCGCGTGTGGCACGCGCGGGGCGCATCTCGCGCCCTGTGCCGCTGGTCTTCGCACGGCGCAGCGTAGCCGTCAGGGCTCCGCCCGCGAAGGCGAGACGCTGGGGCGGGGGCCAGCCGGCCAGCCGTGGTCGTCGTAGCGCAGCACGGCCCACACCTCGACAAAGCGCAGCTACGCCACCCCGCGCAGGTACTCCCCGACGCCGTCGCCCGCGACTAGCTGCTCCAGGGTCCCGATGGGCGCGCTGGTGAAGCGGGCGACCCTCGTGATTGGACCGCTGCCGGCGCCTGAGAGCACGCTCGTGTTCGCGACGACCTGCTGGGCCTCGGGCCGCGCGGAGATCCCCGCGTTCGCGTCGAAGCCCGCCGCCCGCTCGGCCCAGGTCAGCGCGAGGAAGGCGTGATTGGGCAGCGACGGCCCACAAGGCTCCGCGGCCCTGCAATGAACGTAGTCGGCGAGGCGAAGTGCAGGACCATCTTCGGCCACGGGGCGCCGCGCGCGCAAGAGCCAACGACGCATGGCCTCACCTGCTCGCGCGTGCGCCTTCACCGCGCTGAGGCGCGCGCGGCCAGTGACGCCGTGCATCGCCCGCGCCGGGTCCGCGCAGGACCGGGCCACCTCCAGCGAGGGTGCCTTCATCTCGCTGAGAAGCTTGATCATGCGGGGCCTCCAACGATCCCACTACCGGGCCTTCCTCGGCGGCGGCGCGGCGCCGCGCGTGGCGGGCCCCCGCCGGCGCGCGGGCCCCTAGCGGGGGGGCGGCCTCCAGCCTCCAGCTGCTCCTGCCGCTCGCGACCAAGGGGCACCTGATGGCGCCCTCCAGCGTTGCCTGTGTAGGAAGGCCGTGGAGAGACCGCAGCCGCTTCTGCGCTGGCTCCTCCTCCACCGCCTGGTCCACGAGCTCCTTCAACGGGATCCGCGCCTACTTCGTGCTGAGATCCGCGGCCGCCGCCGCCTGCGCGAGCGTTCTTTCGAATTCGCGTTCGCTCGCCCGCGTCGCCAAGCGCCGACCGACGAGCCCGTAGCCATGCAAGACATTGCTGACCTGACTCATTGCGGTGTCGAGGGCGCACGGCCCAAGGGCCAACATCTGCGCCCAACCGTCGTTCAGCATCGCTCGGCCGAGCGCCTGAGCCCAAATGACCATATACGTCCGGCAACCGATCAGGAGGCACCTTCGTGTTGGCATACGTGGACATCTTCCTCATCATGTTTAGCCGTTTGCTCATCCTCGTCGTCGTCCTCGTCTTCGCCCGCTACCATCCGGATTCAAAATGACCCCCGTCGGGCCACCAAACGTTGGACGCGTCGCGTGAGATGTCTTGACAGTTAACTATCCTCATGACAGAACGCTCCACGTATTCAAAGATGGATGCGGCTCTCGCACTATCGCCGTGCACACTCGCATCAACATTTGCAACAAATGCAATGACGGACCATGCGGTTTTCTGCGTGCGACTCTCGAATCAACGACGCGTGCATTCCCCTGAAAGTCAACAGCGTCTTTGATGGAGGCCGACTCGTTTCCAGAATGCGTTGTTCGCCCCAGCGCCGCGCACATTCGTGTGAAAAGTTTGCAGCAACTTTAAGGGAGGAGGGCGGTTACTTTTCAAAGTGGGTATCTCGCATTGGACTGCCCCAAAATTAATGAGTACCAACATGCAGATCTGTAACACATGCGCGGGTCGAGGGCGGTTCCCTTTCAAAACGGCGTTGTCGCTGAAGGGGTCCTTAAATTGAACAACTGGCAGCTGGAATGTGTTTAACATCTGCACGAAACATAAGGCCGTTCCCTTTTCAAAACGAAGCTCTCGCTGAAGACTTCGGCAATTCAATTGCCATACTCGTGGTCTTCTTCAACTGCGCAACGGATCGTGAACGGTTCCTTTTCAAAACGGTGCTCCAGCTGGACACTTTTCTGAACTCTAGAACTATACCGTTTCACAGCTTAAAAAATGCAACACGCTTCCTTCTCGCAACGGGGCTCTCTCGCCAAGCATAGCAGGCAGACCTGGTGCTCGTCTTACACGGATGCGTAACTTGTAATGATCGGGAAGGCGCGTGGGAACTTAAAAGGAAAGGGACTCGGAACGGGACGGTGCATTACAGTACCGTTGGTGCATGATGGGGCTACTCTGACCGTCACCCACATATTCGTCGTCGTCCTCCTCCTCCTCCTCCTCCTTCTCCTCCTCCTTCTCCTCCTCTTCCTCTCGTCACCTATCTTTGCAAACGATGACCCCCTGGCGTCCCCTTCGGAAGCGGTGCTGCTACGCTTCCCCGGCAGCAGGCATCGGCAGCGCCACAGCGCAATAATGTATAGTCGATGTAGATTTGTGCCGGTGAAACGAAGCCCGAAGCCTCACATGAACTGGATCAGCTCCGCGAGCCCCGTCTCGAGCGCGGTAGCTTTGGCGTCATCATACTCAAACTCATCCTCGCCATCATCAGCAGCAACATCATCGTCATCATCTTCACCATCAGCATCAGCATCAGCTGAAACACAACAATCAAACTAACAGACCCACGGCCCTCGAGGCGCTGCCGCAAGGCTCCCGCGATAGTGCGGCCTGCGTGCCTCTCCTGGGGAAGCCGACTTTTCCCGATGTTTCCTTTTTCTGCGATGCTACTACTTCCCAACCATCCTGTGGTGTTGGGTCCTCGGTTTGAAGCGACAGCGCCCCGCGTCCTCTCCTCCTCTGCTCATCTCCTTTCCTCCTCCCCCACCTCCCTCCTCCCATTCCTGCCTCTGCTCTCCGCGTGCCGCCATCACAGGTAGCATCGTCATCATCATCATCATCATCATCATCATCATCATCATCATCAGCATCAGCATCAGCATCAGCATCAGCATCAACATCATCATCATCATCGTCATTACCGCCACCATCGCCACGATCCACATCATAATAATAATAATATCATCATCATCATCATCACCCTCAAAATCAACACCACCACCACCATTAGCATCATCATCATCATCATCATCATGATCATCGTCATCGTCATCATCATCATCATCATCATCATCATCATCATCATCATCATCATCATCATCATCATCATCATCATCATCATCATCAAGGCCAACATCGTGAACCACCCTTCATCTCCCACCCCTCTCTCCTCCCGTCCTGCCTCTGCCGTCCACATGTCTCTGCTTTCGTACACTCCTCAAGAATTTCGTGGCCCCATAGGGAGATCCACCGAAGGTCTCATTATCATCGCCATCGTCAGCATCGTGCATCTGCCCTCTGCATGTGCACGATTTCGGCACACCCCTGCCACGGTTCGTGGACCCATGGGGAGCTCCACCGAAGGCCCCAGTAGCAGGGTCCGCATGCGCCGGACGCCCTTTTTGGCCCCCTCATACAGTTCGTGGCCCAATGGGGGGCTCCACCGAAGGCCCCAGTGCCAGGGTCTGCATGCGCCCGACGCCCATTTTGGCGCACCCCCCACACGGGCCGTGGCCCCGTAGGGAGCTCCACCGAAGGCCCCAGTGGCAGGGCCCGCATGCGCCCGACGCCTATTTTGGCGCACCCCTCACACGGTTCGTGGCCCCATAGGGAGCTCCACCGAAGGTCCCAGTGACAGGGTCCGCATGCGCCCGACGCTCATTTTGGCGCACCCCTTACTTGGCTCGTGGCCCTATTGGGAGCTCCACCGAAGGCCCAAGTGGCAGGATCCGCATGCGCCCGACGCTCAATTTGGCACACCTCTGACACGGTCCGTGGCCCCATAGGCAGCTCCACCGAAGGCCCCAGTGGAAGGGTCCGCATGCTCCCGACGCTCATTTGAGCACACCCCTCAAACAGTTCGTGGCCCAAGAGGGAGCTCCATTGCAGGGACCAGTGGCACGGTCCGCATGCGCCCGACGCCCATTTTGACATACTCCTCGTACGTTTCGTGGCCCCACAGTGAGCTCCACCGCAGGCCCCAGTGGCTGCGTTCGCATGTGTTGGGTCCTTCGCCAGGCTAATCTCTCGCAACGTCGTGAACGTGATCGTCTTGTAAGACATCACGACGGAAGGTTTCTGGCCGTTCTCGGCCTCTGGTGGCTCTCGCCGGGACCAGAGACTGTCAAACAACGGCTTGGGATGAAGAACCAACCCTGGGAAAGGGACGCGACTTCCGGGGACCCCGTCTCGACTAAATCAAAACATCGCATGTCTGGGGCAATTATCGATACTGCTACTCCCCAGGCCTCTCTCGGGGTGCGGCACGACCTGGCTTTCGAGGCGGATCCAGCTGTGGCGGCGAGGTCCTCCCTATAGGTCCAGAGCAACGAAGTCGAGGCAAAGGCAGCGGTATCGGTGCCCTTTCCTCCTCTGATCTCCAGTTTTTCCGCGCGACCACCCGCTTCAGCTCGTGCAGCTCCCACTGGATCCACTCCACGTCTGATTCGGCCACGACGGTGTTCGGATACGGCGTCTCCAGCCTCATCGGGTCGACAAGCACGGACCCGCCGATGACGCACCCGCGCTTCGGCACGCCGGAATCGGGGGACTCCTCGGGAGCCGCCAGGGAAACCAAAAAGTGCCGAAATCTCTACTCTCTGGACCTCGCGCGGGATGCGTCCTGACCATGATGCCGAGACTAATCCAGCCGCGGTGAGGGCACTCCTGGACGAGCAGCGGCATCGGCACCTGAGATCCGACGTCGCAAACCAAGTTCAGCAAACATACCATACGCAATATAAGCAGCATAAGCAACAGCAACCACAACCACAGCAGCAGCAGCAACAACAACAACCACACCACCAACAACAACACCATCAACATCACCACCAACAACAACACCACCACCAACAACAACAACAACGATAACGTGACAACACCCACAGCAACAAACCCAACAAACTTGACCCTATCTGATGCTGCGTTTTCCGAGCCTCATCGATCCGTGAGAATACTCCGTGAAAACACTTAAGCCCCTAACATGACGGAATCGCCCGGTACGGAAGAAACGCGACAGGATCTTAGGGGAGAGCGAGGGAAGTGCAGTGGCACCAGTACCATGAGGAGGAGGAGGAGGCGGAGGAGGAGGAGGAGGAGGAGGAGGAGGAGGAGCCTCTGCGCCCTCGCTGCCTGGCGCCGGCAGCACCTCAGCACCTCTCGGCGACTCCGAAGGCTGTGGTTTGCAGGGGGGGGGGGGGGTTGCAACCTGCACCCTGGGGGGCCGGAGAGGACGTCGTCAGAGTTTTTTTCACACCGGGGAGAAAAACAAACATCCAATTTAAAAACCTCGAGCCTCCTCCTCACGGGCGGCCACCCGCTGCCGCCGCGCCGAGGAGGCCCGACGAGGCAACGCGGTGCCCTCCGAACCCCAACGACGCAGATCGCAGGCCACACCCCGGCTTAACCACATCCTTTTGTAGTCGCCGAACCTCCGGTCCTCCCTGGGTACCTGCACACCGGCTGGCCCTCCGCGTCGCCCTTGCGGGCCACGGCCTCCCCGAAGAGAAGGAGGTGAACCTTCGTGCACGGCGTGCCCGCCTTCACTATCACGGTGCCCTGCGTCGTCGGGAGCGGCGACGTCGTCGTCGTCGTCGTCGTCGGCGTCGTCGTCGTCGTCGTCGTCGTCGTCGTCGGCGCCGGCGCTGGTGCCGGCGTCGGCGTCGGCGTCGGCGTCAGCAACGGCGTCTGCGTCGGCGTCGGCGTCGGCGTCGGTGACGGCGTCAGCGTCGACGTCGGCGTCGGCGTCGTCGGCGGCGGATGAGGCGGCGGCGACGTCGGCGTCGGCGTCGGCGTCGGAGTCGGCGTCAACGTTGGCGTCTGCGTCCGCGTTGCGTTGTCGGCGGCCTGATCGGCGTCGGCGTCGGCGTCGGCGTCGGCGTCGGAGTCGGCGTCAGCGTTGGCGTCTGCGTTGTCAGCGTTGTCGGCGGCATCGTCGGCGTCGGCGTCGGCGTCGGCGTCGGCGTCGGTGTCGGCAACGGCGTCTGCGTCGGTGTCGTCGTCGGTTTCGTCGTCGTCGTCATCGTCGTCGGCCTTGGTTGTTGTCGTCCTCGTCGTCGTCGGCGCCGGCCGTCGTCGGCGACGGGGTCTGGCGTCGGCGTCGGCATCGTCGTCGGCGTCGGCATCGCGGTCGGCGTCGGCATCGTCGTCGTCGTCGTCGTCGTCGTCGTCGGCGTCTGCGTCGGCGTCGGCGTCGGCGTCGTCATCGGCGTCGGCGTCGGCGTCTGCGTCGGCGCCGTCGCCAGCGACGCGTCGGCGTCGGCGTCCGCGTCGGAGTCGTCGTCGCGTTGGCGGCGGCGGCGGCGTCGTCGTCGTCGTCGTCGCGTCTGCGTCGGCGTCGGCGTCGTCGGCGTCGGCTTTGGTGACGGCGTCAGCGTCGGCGTCGGCGTCGGCGTCGGCGGCGGCGTCGTCGGCGTCGGCGTAGACGTCGGCGAAGACGTGGGCGTCTGCGTCGGCGTTGGCGTCCGCGTCGGCGGCGTCGGCGCTGGCGTCGGCAAGGTCGGTTTTTCTGCGGCATCGTCGGCGCCAGCGTCGGCGTCGGCGTCGGCAGAGACGTCTGCGTCGGCGTCGTCGTCGGCTTCGTCGTCGTCGTCATCGTCGTCGTTGTCGTCGTCGTCGGCTTCGCCGTCGTCGTCGTCGTCGTCGTCGTCGTCGTCGTCGTCGGCGTCGGCGTCGGCGTCGGCATCGGCGTCGGCGTCTGCGTCGGCGTCTGCGTCGGCGCCAGCGTCGGCGTCGGCGTCGGCGTCGGCGTCGGCGTCGACAGCGGCGACGACGTCGGCATCGTCGTCGTCGTCGGCGTCGGCGTTGGCGGCGGCGGCGTCGGCGTCGCGTCGGCGTCGGCAACGGCGTTTGCGTCGGCGTCGGCGTCGTCGTCGGCGTCGGCTTCGGTGACGGCGTCAGCGTCGGCGTCGGCGTCGGCGTCGGGCGGCGGCGGCGTCCGGCGGCGGCGTCGGCGTCGGCGAAGACGTGGACGTCTGCGTCGGCGTTGGCGTCCGCGTCGGCGCGTCGGGTCGCGGGCGTTTGTCGGCTTTTCTGCGGGTCGGCGTCGGCGTCGGCGTCGGCAAAGGCGTCTGCGTCGGCGTCGTCGTCGGCTCCGTCGTCGTCGTCGTCGTCGTCGTTTTCGTCGTCGTCGGTTTCGCCGTCGTCGTCGTCGTCGTCGTCGTCGTCGTCGTCGTCGTCGTCGTCGGCGTCGGCGTCGGCGTCGGCATCGGCGTCGGCGTCAGCGTGGGCGTCTGCGTTGGCGCCAGCGTCGGCGTCGGCGTCGGCAGCGGCAACGACGTCGGCGTCGTTGTCGGCGTCGGCGCCGGCGCCGCCATCGGCGTCGGCGGCGGTGGCGGCGGCGACATCGTCGGCGTCGGCGTCTGCGTCGGCGTCGGCGTCGGCGGCGGCGGCGCTGGCGCCATCGTCGGCGTCGGCGTCGGCGTCGGGGTTGGCAACGGCGTCTGCGTCGGCGTCGTTGTCGTCGTCGGCGTCGGCGTCGTCTTCTTCGTCGTCGGCGTCGGCGTCGGCAACGTCGGCGTGGGTGTCTGCGTCGGCGTCGTCGTCCGCGTCGGCGGCGTCGTCTTCGTCGTCGTCGTCGGACCGTCGACCGTCGCAGTCGTCGTAGTCGTCGTCGTCGTCGTCGTCGTCGTCGTCGTCGTCGTCGTCGTCGTCGTCGTCGTCGTCGTCGTCGTCGGCGTTGTCGTCGTCGTCGTCGGCGTCGGCGTCGGCAACGTCGTCGTCGTCGTCGTCGGCGTGGGCGTCGGCGTCGACTTCGGCGTCGTCGTCCGCGTCGTCGGCGTCGTCGTCGTCGTCATCGTCGCTGGCGTCGTCGTCGTCGGCGTCGGCGGCGGCGGCCGCGTCGGCGTCGGCGTCGGCGTCGGCGTCGGCGTCGTCGGCGTCGGCGTCGGAGTCGGCATCGGCGTCGGCGTCGGCGTCGGCGTCGGCGGCGTCGGCGTCGGCGTCGGCATCGGCGTCGGCGTCTTCGTCGGCATCGGCGTCGGCGTCGGCATCGGCGTCGGCGTATGCGTCGGCGTCGGCGTCGGCGTCGGCGTCGTCGTCGTCGTCGGCGTCGGCGTCGTCGCGCCGAGCAATTTCCCTTCGCCTGAGACGCAATTTTGGCGACGCCGAGCAATTTCGCTTTATTCTGGGCCCGATCCGAGTCCATCCCAGATCACCCTGGCTCGGGAGACGCCCGCGTTCACCATGATGGTGCCCTGCGTCGTCGGCGGCGGCAGCGGCGGCGGCGTCGTCGTCGTCGTCGTCGTCGTCGTCGGCGTCGGCGTCGTCGTCGGCGCCATCGTCGTCGGCCTTGGTTGTTGTCGCCCTCGTCGTCGTAGGCGCGGGCGTCGTCGGCGACGGGGTTTGGCGTCGGCGTCGGCATCGTCGTCGTCGTCGTCGTCGTCGGCGTCGGCGTCGGCGTCGTCATCGGCGTCGGCGTCGGCGTCGGCAGAGGCGTCGGCGTTGGCGGCGGCGGCGGCGTCGGCGTCGGCGTCGGCGTCGGCGACGGCGTCTGCATCGGCGTCAGCGTCGGCGTCGGCGTCGGCGTCTGCGTCGGCGACGGCGTCGGCGTCGGCGTCGGCATCGTCGGCGTAGGCGTCTGCGCCGGCGTCGGCGTCGGCGTCCGCGTCCGCGGCGTCGTCTTCGTCGTCGTCGTCGTCGGCGTCGGCCTCGGCAACGGCGTCGGCGTCGTCGTCGGACCGTCGCCGTCGTCGTCGTCGTCGTCGTCGTCGTCTTCGTCGTCGTCTTCGTCGTCGGCGTCGGCGTCGGCGTCGGCGTCGTCGTGGTCGTCGTCGTCGTTGCCGTCGCCCCCGCCTTCGCCTGAGATTCTGACGTGGCAACTTTATTCGCGCCAGGCAATTTCGGCTTATTCCGGTCCCCATGACCCTCCCAAATCGACCCGTCTTGAGAAATGCCGCAGAAAGATGGGGTCTAAGGTTCTGGTCGTGATTTTCCAGGATGCTGCATCTGTTTTGCCACGTCGGACCTGAGGGTCGTCCGTGTCGTTTCCCCAGATCGCCGAAGATATGGTTTTCAGCCCTTGCGTTTGTCCCCAATTTCGGCCTCGGGCGCGTTGTTGGGCCCAGGGGGCTACCAAAAAAAGATCCGGGCGTCAACCTATCTCCATGGGAGGGGTCGGGACCCCTGGGAGCGCGCATTGAAAAGATCACACAATCGGATGTCTGCTGTCGTCGTCGCCGTCGTCGCTGGCGGCCCCCAGGGGCACCTTCGTCCCTCGGATGCGCGTGCCAGAGGACATCAGTACCCTGAACTGCTCCGTGTCGACGCCGTAGGGCTCGAAGACGTCCTGGTACCTCGGCGCGGGCCCCCCCTGAGATCCGACGACGCGGAAAAATACAACATCGCCAACAAAAATTACGACCGGAGCCATATACCTCAACTTCTAGCGCCAACTTTCGAGCCCGCTCGATCTGCGCGGGTCCTGGGGCCCAAGGCAGGGCGATTTGTGTGGTCCGTGGGCGCGAGACGATCAGACGCCAGGCGAGCAGCGGCCAGACGCGCCGGAGCACAGCTGGCACAGAGGGGGCAGGGACGCGCGGGGCGCGGGACGGCCATGTAAGGCCAGAGAGGCGAGGGGGGTCACACTCGGCCATGTAAGGCCTCCTGTCTGTGCTTGCCGAGGCGCGACGCCGCCCCGCGCCGCTGCCAGGGGCTGCCCTTCAGCCCGGCTGCCCCGCGCGCTCCCCGCGGCGCCGCCGCGTGAGAGTGCCCCCCGCGCCCCGCCCCCTTCCTCCGCGGCCACCCCATCCTCACTCCTCTTCCACTCTCGCATGCGGGCTACCTTGCAACTCCGCAGCCCGGGTTTGCTCCACGCGCGAGCGGATCGCCCCTGCCGCGCCGCGACGGAAACAAGCGCGTGCCGAGGTGCAAGCACTTGAAAGTTAGAATGCGGCGAACACGCCCAGGGCGAAAACAAATTACAACGCCCGTGTCCCAAGGGCAGCTGCTCGCTGGCCCGTTCTTCGGGGCGGGGGCTGCGGCCGCGCCGCTTGGCTGCCGGGAGTCGCCCCGTTTCGGGGCTCTGTGGCCCTACGGCCAGCGCCAGCGCGCTGAAAGACCGCGGAGATCTAGTACCGGCAGAGCTTTAGACTTCGGCGGATTTTGCCCAGGCATGCTCGCGTCGTAGAACAAATCACGACGCGTGGTTTTTGGCTGTTTCGGCCTCGTGCTGGCGTCGTGGAGAGATATCAGCCAGCGCAGACTCCTAAGAGACCAGATAACTGAAATGGGGTGGACTGGGGTAGACTGAAGTACACTGGACTTGATTAGACAGGCCTGGATTGGGGCGGACGCTACTCCACTCTACTCTACTCGACTCTACTCTGCCTGCGCTACTCTACATCTATCCTAGTATACTCGGCTCTGCCCTACTCTACCCTAGTCTACTCTACCCTAGTCGACTCTACCCTACTGCATTACTTTACCCACCCTACCCTAACCTACTCTGTTCTACTCTATTCTACTCCTGCACGAATCTCCGACTCTACTCTGTTTCAAAATACTCTCATCTACTCTACCCTACTTTACTGTACTCTACTCTGCTCTACTCTACCCGACGCTGCTCAACCATCTATCCTATCTTACTCTATTATCCTCTCCTCTGCCCTCCTCTACTCTACCCTACCCTGCCGTACCCGGTAGGTGAGCGCCCGCTTGCCCTGGGCCATCCGAATATGGGAAACAAGCTTGTGGCCATTCAAAGGGGGCTCAGCGGTCACCCGCGTGCTTCCCAATACTCGGGACGCCCAGGCGTGGCCCTGGGCCTCAAGAGTATCGGGAGCCGAGCGGGTGACCATTGCAAAGGGGTACACCAGTCGCCCGCTGGCTTGGCCCTGGGCCTCCGGAGAATCGGGGTCCAGCGGCCACCCGCTTGTTCCCCAATATCGGGAGGCCCAAGCTTGGCCCTGGACCTCCCGACTATAGGGGCACAAACTGGCTGTGATTTTAACCTTTTGGTATCCAATATTAAGCCCAGAACGGGCCACAAAAAGGGCGCCGGAAAAGCGGAGGGGGCGCTCAAACGGAAAGGATGGGGGGGTACCCGCGTGTTTCTCAACATTTCCCATTCTTTTGATGCGAGCGATAAAGAATATTGCGAGTCAAACTCTGTCGAATACGTAGCACCCAGCAAATGCGGATAAGACTGAGGAGGCGGTGGGGACGTCGGCAGTCTGCGAGACTCTGGAAAAGCCCGCCGCAGGCGCCAAAGTTTCACAAATTATACAACGAACCCGACGCGAGCGCTGATTTTCTCTTCGAACCCATGTGGATCGGTCGCGGGTGGGTCGCGGGTGGGTCGCGGGGTGGGTCGCGGGTGGGTCGCGGGGTAGGTCGCGGGTGGGTCGCGGGTGGGTCGCGGGGTGGGTCGCGGGGTGGGTCGCGGGTGGGGGTTAGGTCGCGGGTTGGGTCGCGGGGTGGGTCGCGGGTGGGGGTTAAGTCGCGGGTTGGGTCGCGGGGTGGGTCGCGGGGGGGTAATGGGAGGGACGATGACAACAACAACAACAACCACAATCATTTTAAGACTGTTCGCCTTTATCTGCTCGAGTATCCAATAACGAATATTTCCCAAACCCTCGATACCCGCCCTCTTCGTCTTCGATCGAACCCCTTTTGGGGGGTATACCTTTCTTCCCTGCAGGCCGGGCCCTGGCTAGCGGCGGGGCGGCCGCGGACCGTCGGCCTGGCCAGCGGCAGCGCTGATCGGCGGGGCGGCCGCGGACCGTCGACCCGACCCCAAGAGGGACGGACAGGGGACCGACCACGACGACGACGACGTCGACGACGACGGCAACGAGCGAAAGCGAGAGCGAGAGAGAACGACAGCAGGGCCACGAAGGACACGAACTAGGCCACGAAGGGCGACAGCGGGGACACGAAGGGAATGCGTATGGGGCCACGAAGAGCGCGAACGAGCGGGGGCCACGAAGGGCAGATAATGCGGAGCCACAGAAGGCAACGATGGGGTCACTGAGGGTAGCAACTGGCCACGTAGGACAGTGAGGGGGCCACCAACGGCGACAGCGGGGCCACGAAGGGCATGCTCATCGGGCCACAACGGGCGCGAACGAGCGCGGGCCACGAAGGGCATGCGTATGTTGGGCCGCGGAGGGCAAGGACGGGGCCACTGAGGGCAGCAACGGGGCCACGAAGGGCAGCGAGGGAAGCGGGGGCCACGAAGGGCATACATATCTGGGGCCACGAAGGGCAGCGAGGGGGCCACGAAGGGCTGCAACGGGGCCACGAAGGGGAGCGAGAGGGCCACGAAGGGTTGCGACGGGGCCACGAAGGGCTGCAACGGGGCTACGAAAGGCAGCGGGAGGGCCACGAAGGGCTGCAACGGGGCCACGAAACACATCGAGGAGGCCACGGGGCTGCAACGGGGCCACGAAGGGCAGCCGAGAGGGCCACGAAGGGCTGCAACGGGGCCGCGAAACAAAGCGAGGGGGCCACGAAGGGCTGCAACGGGGCCACGAAGGGCAGCGAAATCCCAACTCCTAGGTAATCTGCGAGGGAGTCCTGAGCGTGAGCGCGACTCCTGGGTGCCTGGGTGTCGGGAGCGCGGCGCTTGAGTAAATTGCAAGCGATTCCCATGCAAAGGCGCTATTAGTCAGTAAATTGCAAGCAAGTCTCCAGCGAGAGCGCGACTCGGATAACGATTCCTGGATAACTTGCAAGGGAGTCCCTCGCGAGAGCGCGATTCCGGAATAACATGCGAGGAAGTCTCGGGTGGGAGTGGGGGTCCTGCCTAAAGTGTGGGGAAATATCAAGCGGGAGCCGTTGTTGTTGTAACCCGAGGGGCCAGGGGCATACTTTGAGCATCAAGACTTTCTCTGTCAAGTAACATGGTGCAAGCGTCGAGGGGTGCATTTTGATTGAACAATTACCCTGGCGACGTACCCAACCCCTGCGCAAACGCGGCGTGCAAATAGTTTAGGATACTTTATACGGGGGGCGATGCCGGAGCGAGGGTTACATATGTCTGCAGACGGAATCCGGGAGACCCGCAGGACACTGGCCACAGGACAAGGGCTTGATAAAGCTGATGAGTTACAATTCCTGAGCACTCCTAGCCACTTCGAAAACGGGGATCACATATCGCAGCCCCCGAGAGATGGCGAGGTCTAACTGGAGTCTGCGGCGAGGTCCCAGAAACAATAACGGTTCGAGGATGATGTGATCGAGGGCCTGAGAGCAACTCACAAGGCATAAGGGCATCTCGTGGGGAGCAAGCTGTTTCTTTCCGCTTCGTCCCCCTGCAAATGATGTGCAAAGCGCCTTCATCTTTTACGTGGTACAACTCTTCACCCAGCGAGTTCCAAACAATTTGATGCAGCATAAACGCAGACACATGTGATTGAACTACTATTCGCTAGACTCCCTAAGAGCCCCCGCTAGAACTACTGCCATCACTGCTACGCGGGCGGTGGGAGTATGGCCGCCCCAATCCATGGGCCCACTGAGCGCCCCAGTAAAAGGCGCGCGCGCGCTTCCCGCGCACGCGCCGCGGGCGCAAATTCCACGAATTCGCGATGGTCTTATCCGTTGAAGCGCAGCTGAGCAGACGCCCGTCCGTCAGGACTGCGTCGACACCAGTCAATCCGGGGCCGAACCGTCTCCTCCTGACCCGCAGCCCCTCCGGCCCAAGAATACGGAGGTCTATTGTGGATCCGCTTAGCGCGTCACTGTGCTGGGCCCCCCAGCAGGCCTCGAAAGTGGCGACAGTGTCGCAGATCGCAGGAGTCTAATTTGAATCTGCGTGTGGCGTCACTGTGCTGGGCCCCCCAGCAGGCTTCGAAAGTGGCGACGGTTTCACAGATCGCAGCCCCCCCAGGGATGGCGAGGTCTGATTTGAATATGCGTGTGGCGTCACTGTGCTGGGCCCCCCAGCAGGCCTCGAAAGTGGCGACAGTTTCACAGATGGCAGCCCCCCAGGGATGGCGAGGTCTAATTTGAATCTGCGTGTAGCGTCACTGTGCTGGGCCCCCCAGCAGGCCTCGAAAGTGGCGACAGTTTCACAGATTGCAGCCCCCCAGGGATGGCGAGGTCTAATTTGAATCTGCGTGTGGCGTCACTGTGCTGGGCCCCCCAGCAGGCCTCGAAAGTGGCGACAGTTTCACAGATCGCAGCCCCCCAGGGATGGCGAGGTCTAATTTGAATCTGCGGTGGCGTCACTGTGCTGGGCCCCCCAGCAGGCCTCGAAAGTGGCGACAGTTTCACAGATCGCAGCCCCCCAGGGATGGCGAGGTCTGATTTGAAGTGGCGATGAATCTCGCAGATCGCAGCCCCAGGGTGGCGAGGTCTCATCTGCGTGGCGTCACTGTGGCCCCCCAGCAGGCCTCGAAAGTGGCGACGGTTTCACAGATCGCAGCCCCCCCAGGGATGGCGAGGTCAAATTTGAATCTGCGTGTGGCGTCACTGTGCTGGGCCTCCCAGCAGACCTCGAAAGTGGCGACAGTTTCACAGATGGCAGCCCCCGAGGGATGGCGAGGTCAAATTTGAATCTGCGTGTGGCGTCACTGTGCTGGGCCCCCCAGCAGGCCTCGAAAGAGGCGACAGTTTCACAGATGGCAGCCCCCGAGGGATGGCGAGGTCTAATTTGAATCTGCGTGTGGCGTCACTGTGCTGGGCCCCCCAGCAGGCCTCGAAAGTGGCGACAGTTTCACAGATCGCAGCCCCCCGCAGGCAAGACAGGAGGAGGCAAGAGGGAGGTGGGAAGGAAGGAGGGAGTGGAGACCACACTGCTCTATCCAAAACGAACACCCCACCAAGGAGGGTTGGGAACAATATGCACCGGTGGGGGGATCAACCATAATTATTCTTCAGAAATGAGAATTCAACGACAACAACAACAGCAACAGCAACAGCAACAACAACAACAACAGCAGCAACAACAACAATTACAACAACAATAACAATAACAACAACAACAACAACAACAACAACAACAACACCAACAACAAAAGCAGCAGCAACAGCAACAGCAACACCACCACCAACAACACCAACACCAGCACCAACAAAAAAACACCAACACCAACACCAACAACGCAACAAGCAGAACCCTCACCACGGATTCTCACTTCAGCCACGCACCCAGGGACAATGAATGACCGTTCGGCCCCCTCGCCCTGATAAGGAAACAAGCGGGTGACCATTTAACTGGGTCCAGCGTTCACCCGCTGGCTTCGCAATGTTGATGTGTCATACATGATGTGTGAAGCAGCAAGCGGGTGCGCACGTACCTACATACCCTCATCCACTCTACGTTACCCTAGTCCACTCGACTCCTACTCCACTCTACTCTAATATAATATGCTTTCCTCTGCTCTACCCCACTCTACTCAGCTCTGCTCCACCATACTCTGCTCTGTTCTGGCCGAGTCTACACTTTACCATCTACGCTATTATATTTTACTCTGCCCTGATCAAATATATACTGTACTCTACCCTATCCTACCGTACGATAGCCTAACATACTCTAATATACTCCTACTCTCCACTACTCTACACTATTCTACTCTACTCTACTCTTCTCCTACCCTGCCCTACCCCTACCCTGTCCTACTTCGACTCTGCCCGCCTCTACTATCCTATCCTCTGCCCTCCTATCCTCTGCCCTACTCTACTCCCCTCTACTCTGCTCTACTCGACGTTACTCTACCATCCAACCCATCTACTCGACTCTGCTATACTCTAACCTACTCTACTCTACCCTTCCCTGCCCTACCCTGCTCTACTCTACTCCTGCTCTCCTATATGCCACCATGCCGTTGGGCACGGAGTGGGCAGGTCCTCAAGTCCTTGGCCCAATCTTTTAGGGCCTAAAAGATTGAGGCCTAAAAGGATTGAGGCCTAAATCTTTTAGGCCCTAAAGGATTGAGGCCTAAAATTTAGGCCTCAATCCTCACCCCTGAGGGGTCTTTAGAAAGGCCCGAGCCCCTCGCTCTCATATCTTCCGGGGCCTTCCCGCGTGCCCCTGGGGCTTCCCGCGTGTCCCCTGGGCTTTGCCCACTGGTGGCGCGTACATGTTTCGGGCCCGAGAGGCGAGCGGCCTGCAAGACTGCCCAATGGGGCCCCGAGATGGCCAAAGATCGACCCGAGTCTCCCAAGATGGCCTCAAGATGGCCCACGAGGCATCCAAGAAGCTCCAAAAGGCCTCCCAGAGGCCTCCAAGAGGCCCCAAGAGGCAACAACCATTGAGTTTCCGTGGTTTTTGACGGATTTTGCTGTTCTCGCCTTTTCGGCTTTCCGACGCTTCCAGACGGCCCCAGAGGCCCCCAAGACCACGCCAAAACGGCCCAAGAGGACTCCAAGAGGGCCCCACGACGGCCTAAGAGCGCCGCAAGACGGCCCAAGAGGCGCCCAAGACTGCCCCCAAATGGGCTCACGTTGGAGAACACGAACCGAAAATCCGAGCCTTCCGCTCCAAGAGGCCCCTAATTATGAGGCCCCGCCCAGGAGGCCCCAAGAGGCCCCCAAGAGACCTCCGAGAGGCCCCCAAGAGGCCCCCACGAGACTCCAAGAGGCCCAAAAGATACCGCAAGAGGCCCCCAAACGGCCCCCAAGAGGCCTCCGAACTGCCTCCACGAGGCCCTTAGGCCTCCCACGAGATCCCAGCGAAGATCCAATACGCTTCTTACCCACAACCCAGGCGCGGTGGCGGGATGTGCCGAAGGCTATTCGATGCTTCACTCTACTCTACCCTGCTTCACTCCATGATATCCTGCTCCACTCTCCTCCCCTCTGCTCGTCTGCCGTGCGGATAACTACAGAGGACGCCATAAACGGATAGCAGAGGAAGCCATGCGCAGCAGAGGGCGCCATGCGCAACAGAGGACGCTAGCAGAGGAAGCCATGCACACCAGAGGACGCGCGTGTAAGTGCAACACAGAAAGCCATGCGAATAGCAACGGGAGCCCTGCGCAACCGAGGACGCGTGCAGGGGCGAACCAGAAGAGGAGAAGAGGGGGCAGCGGCCGAGTTCTCCACGCGTGGAGCCAGGACTCCGATAGGCAAACCTATTCGAAGAAAAAGCGACGGACGGCTTTTAGCTGTTTTCGGCCTCTGGGGGCTCTCGCCGTGCCCCAGGGCCGTCGACGAAAAAGCCCAGGACGACCGACGAACTGGCCCCAGGGTTGAGGTCGGGACTCGCAGGGACAGGGGCCCCGCATCGGAGAAACGGAGATCGCACGTCTGGGTGGGGCCCGGTGCATGATGGCATGACTCTCCTTCGAGACAGCGCTGCCCTCGCCTTCGGCAGCCGGTACTGACCGCCCACCTTCCGGTACTCCGGCTGTCGGTGCCTGAGGCAGCCCGCGCACTCCTCGTGGTGTAGACTCTCTGCGCCTGAGGCCTCCCCCCCGCCTTCCCCCTCCGCGGCCGCGCCCTTCTCCTCCTCTTGTCTAATATGCCCTAGCCGCGCGCGGCCCGACGGCTTTCGACCGCGTTGGCGCTCGCCTTCGCCGCTGACCAAAAATGTCTTGGTGGGGCCCGCCTGGCTTGGAGGCGGCCAGGGGGCCTGAGCTGGATGGGACCCCACAGAATCAGTCAAGACGGAAGGACAAGAAGAAAACCACTCAAGATCAGTCCCCGGATACACACCACCCCCCAGGGTGCAGCTGGTGCAGTTTCTCACCCCAAATCCGTCTTTGCAAGTCCTGGGTCCGAACACACGGCCCCTGGAGACCGAAAACGGCCCAACAGGCGTTCGAGCCCAGAACCTCGAACCTCGCGCTCCCTTCCTGCTGCCCAAAGCCGATGCTGGGCCACCTGGGACCCCCAGCCGGCTCCAACGTCTGGCCCTGGCCCCCCGGCGTCGAGAGGGAAAACCGTGGGCCCCCGTGGCCCTCACGGGCCGACCCGGCTCAGCGGGTCACGCAGCTTGCCATCGCTCGGACGTCCATTCCCTGTGCGTCTTTCGGCTTCGTTCGCGCGCGGATTCTTTTCCCGCAATATGATCCAGAGGCGCACACGTCCGAGCGATGCCAATGCAAGGAAGCGAGGCCGGGGGCTCCCGTGGGGTCCGAGGGCTCTGGCCGCGTGTCTCTGCTCGCGGCGCCGCGGCAGTCCCCACGGGCCGTCGGGAGTCCGGGCGTCTCGGGGCGGGCTTCGGCCAGACGAAGCCAGGGCAGGGCCAACATCGGACGGGGACGAGTTGGGATTCTCTCCTGGAGGATCCGTGGGGCGCCCGCGGCCATTCCAGAGCGTTCTGAGAGCGCTCTGAGAGCGCTCTGGAACGCTCCCATCGGCGCTGTTTCGAGCATCATGTGGAGATCGGTCTGAATTCAGTCTCTGGCAAGATAATTGCATTCACGGTTCAGCGCAGGCGGGACAGAAGGGTTTGTAGCAGCGCCTCCTCACCTCCGCATCGATATGCCTCAGAGGCGTCACAGAGGGCCGTGCTAGGAGCACGCATCTTTCACTGCACACGCGTTGAATGCAGGACAAAAGTCACCCTGTCGTAGGCCTGCCTGGCTTGGGCTGACCTGGGGCGACCTTGGGGCAATATCGTGCCGCCTCCGGCTGTGTCGGGGGGCGGCGCCCGGGAAGCATTCGAGCCAGGCATCGATTCCGTCCATGGCACCGAAGCGCTTCCCCCGACGACGACGACGACGACGACGACGACGACGACGACGACCACGAGGACGAGGATGAGGACGAGGACGAGGACGACGACGAGGACGACGACCCGCGACCGTGACGACGACCCGCGACCGTGACATCATGATCCCAGTGGCTCGAGTGCGTGCGGGCGCTTGCCAGGAGCCCGAAGCCGTAGGGCGCTCGGCCAGTGACGAAGAGATGCGGAGACCGGGCACCCCACAAGCTCGACGGAGCCGACAAAAAACAAGCTCGGAGCGTAAGAACGAAGTGGCTAAACAGGAGTGGCTTTAAAACTGTGATCGTCTTCTTATTCATTGTTTTGCCGATCGGCGCGGGCCGCCCTCGCACACCCCCAATGGAGTGGGCCCTGGCTGTTTTCGGCGCCTGTTTCGAGGTGGAGTCTCCCCCCGTAAGACGCACTGTTGCAAACAGCCGCATTAAGCAGAGGTCCAGAGCCAGACCCCCCACCCTTCCCCCGCCTTCCCCGCCCAATGCCGAAACGCCGAATCAGAAAACGTGCACTACCAAACTGGGGCTGTCATGTGATACGTTGCTGAATGAGTTCGAACATCAACCAACGGACAGGGAACTGACTGACTAAATGTCAAGGCCTGCTGGGCTTCCCGGCACCAGGAGAGCGGATGAAACGTGATCATGGATGTTGAACTACTGCCCTGGTACAGATCGTCGTCGGTGGGCCCCAGCGCCATGTGCCGCGACTGGCCGTCGCCAGAAAAAACAGCAGCTGACGATATGCACCGCGGCGCCGCCGAGACATACTGGACAATTCTCGGAGCCGCTTTTTTTCTCAGGAGGGAGCGCAGTCTGTCTGGCACAGCCTGAAAGATCTTCCGAAACCGGCGTTCCACAAGAGTAGTCTTGCACTGGGCGTCTCTGCCGCGCCATCCCCCCCCACCCCCCTTTCCCCACCAACCCGCGACCCTGGCACCCACCCCACCATGGAGCAGGTGGCCAGGCGTGTGAGGACGAGCCCGACGTGGTCGGACTGCATATGTACCCCTGGAGATCCACGGGAGCCCAGCGCCTCGAAGACACAGCTGGGCCTTAAGAGAAGCCTTCCCTACCCGAGTTCCGCCCTGGCCCCGGATGCCCCCAAAGGTCCCCAAAGGCCCCTGGAGGCCCCCGTGGGCCTCCGCAGGCCCAAGACAGACAGACAGACTGACGCGCGCGGAAGGTGCGAAGACGTCTCACTGGTGAGAGGCTCAACAGGCCCTCAGGCCCAGATCATCAAGCACTAAACGTTGTCCGGAGGCCAGAGAAGGCCCAACACCTGGAATCCTCGATCCTCACTGTCGTGGGCAAGACTCGAAGACAAACCCCTCCCTCCCCCCGCTCCCGTTCCGTAGCGGCTTGGACCGTTCCCGTCTGTGGAGAACGTGCACAGGCAAAAGGAAAAGGGTGCGGGACAGTACGCGAAGGCTGGCGTCGGTCCTCTGGAGGCGCCTCGATTACAGCTGCGCTCGAAGGCGGCACTCGTGGCTCAGGCCAGGCCGGATGCACGAAGCCTCCCTGGACGAACCCCCAACCAACCGACAGGCCAGGGAGGGCGCACGATCCGATCTCTGACCCTACGTATGCACCTTCCCTCCCTCGCCGGCCGTTCTCTGCACCTTCCGCCCTCTGCAGCTTCCCTCCTCTCTCGACGTCCGCCCTCTGCACCGTCCCCCCCCTCGACATCGGCCCACTTCGGCTCGGGCGAAAGGAGAGGCTAGTGCAGGGACGGTCAGCGACTCGGCTCACGCAGCTGGTTTCCTTGCGCCTCCCGGCGCTGGAGGCGCCAGTGTATCGAGAGAAAGGCGCCCGGCGGCGGGGCCGACACTGGCTACATGCCTCAGGTTTCGCCCTCCCTTTTCGAAGGAGGGGTTGCGACGTCTGCTGCATGTAGCTGGTTCGGCCCCGCCGAGCCAGCCACATGCCGCTACCACGAGGGGTTCGGCCCGTTTTCCCATCTCCGACCTCGCAGCTCCCTGACTGGCCTCGCAGCTCCCTGGGCGGCTGCGAACTGCGCAACCGTCGCCCCTTTCGTGAGCTCCTGGGAGGCACGGCGGAGCACCGAAACCTCGCAGCTCCCTGTGCGGCTGCGAACACTGCAGCTGTCGCCACTCTCAAGCTTCGCCCGACCCGACCTCTACGCCTTCCGCCCTCTGATGACGACGACGACGATGACGAGGAGGAGGAGGAGGACGACGACGACGACGACGACAACGACGACGACGACGACGACGACGACGACAACGACGACGACAGGAGACGCCAGGCCCTGGCGCGGCGCCTGCCGCGCGCACGGCTCGGAGGACGGAGGGCCCCTGGGGGCACGGACAAGACGACGCGACGTCGCGAACGCGACCGCGACGTCTGGAACTCGATCTCGCTGCGAAGACATCACGGCGGAAGGCCTTGGGCTGTTGTCGGCCTCTGGGGGCCCTCGCTGCGCCCGGGGGGGCGTGTGAACAAAACAGCCTGGAATGGTAGGGACCTCTGGGCACCCCGTGCTGAAAACACGAAGACGTCGCATGTCTGGGAAAGGCACCGATGCCGCTACGTCCCGGACCCCTCCTGGGGTGCGTTCTGGCCACAGTCTCGAGGAGAACAGAGCCTTGGTGACGAGGGCTGTCCAGGACGAGCAGCTGTGTCGGAACCTTTCCCTCCTCTGAGGTCCCCTACGGCGGCCGCCGCGGCCGCGGCCTGCCGCGCGTTGCCCTCTTGGCTTTGGGGCCATGCCTCGGCTCTGTGGCGGCCGTTCGGGATGGGCCCCCCCAGACGCATCTCGGCGGGGCGCACCTGCTGGACAGCACCCCGAGGCCGGAAAACCGCAGAAAATATCGACGAAAACGTCATTGGAGGCCTGGAAATGGGCACCTGCACCACTACAGGGCGTCGCCTCCACTGGGGGGAGATGATCCTGGATCTTGGTGCTGGTGCTAATCTTGCGGCCATCTAGGACGCCCCAATACTACCACCATCACCGAGATCGGGAGCATCCTCCCTCGGTGGAGGCAAACAGCAGGTATTGGTGTAGGTGTCAACCTCTAGGCCTCCGACGGACCTCCGACGTCATGATTTTTTCACAACGTCGACCCCCAGAGGTCTCGGCCCCTTCCCTGGGGCCGGTTTCTCATACTGAATAATTGTTTGACGGCCCCGAGGCCTGGTAAAGGCCCCCAGAGGGTGAAAACAGTGACAAACCTTCCTTCGTGATTGTTTCATGACTCGAGGGGGTCTGGGATCGACGAAAACGTAAGAAAACGTCGAACCTCGAAGCCGAAAAGTTCCCCCTCTCGAGCCTCCCTTCCCCTCGCGCTCGCCTCCTACGGGGAGCGGCGGCGCCACCGCCAGCAGCCAGGCGCCCGCCCCGCGGCAGCAGCGCCCACGGCGCCGAGGTGGCTCGCGGCAGCGCGCGCATGCCCGACACAGCCGCCGCCGCAGCGGCCATTTTGACCCCGCGCGCCGCCGCGGCGCGGCCGACCAACCGCTCCCTCCGGGAGAGGGCGGACACGAATGGACGAGCCCTTCTTCGTTGCACTGACTGCGGCTGCTTAACCGTAGCGTCACAAACGAACGGACGAGCCGCCTCCTCCTCCTCCTCCTCCTCCACCTCCTCCTCCTCCTCCTCCTCTTCCTCCTCATCTTCGTCATCAGCATCCTCCGAGTCTTCCTCCTCCTCCTCCTCCTCCTCCTGATCCTCCTTCTCCTCCTCTTCTTCCTCCTGGTTATCCTCCTCCTCCTCCTTTTCACCCTCATCCTCTTCACCATCATCCGAATCCTCCTCCTTCTTCTCCTCCTTCTCCTCATTCCCTTGCCCCTCCCCCTCGTCCCCTGCCTCCTGCCCTCCCCCTCCTGCCCCTCCTCCTCCTCCTTCTCCTCCTCCTCCTCCTTCTCCTCCTCCTCCTTGTCCTCCTCCTCCTTCTCCTCCTCATCCTCTTGCTTCTGCCCCTCCTCCCCTGCATCCTCCCCTCTCCCGCTCCTCCTGCATTCCTCTTCCCTCCCCTCTTTGTCCTTGCTCCTCTTCCTCCTCCTCTTCCTTTGTCTCCTTCTCCTTCTCATCGTCAACATCATCAACAACATCAGCATCATCATCATCATCATCATCATCATCAGCATCATCATCATCAAGGCCAGCATCATCATCATCATCAACATCGTCGTCATCATCATCATCAACATCATCATCATCACAGGAGCACGGCAGAACACACAACAGCACGGCATAACACATAGGAGCACGGCAGCGCAGGACCAGGGCAGAAGACACAGGAGCACGGCAGAACAAATAGGAACACGGTAGAACACGCAGGAGCACGGCAGAACACCCAGAAGATCTATCCACACAGCCGCAAGCACAGGCACACACACGGGCACACGCACACACTGGCACACTGGCACACTGGCACACTGGCACACGCACACACAGGCACACACACACACACACACACGTACATACGCACACACAGGGAAGCAACACGCGTGCACGCAGACCGCAGGAGCACGGCAGAGCAGCACTGCACAACACAGCAGTGCCGCAGACCACCACGCACGGACGCACACGCACATATTCCACGCACGCACTCGCACGCGCAAGCGCACGCACGCCACGACAGATCTGCGCAGCGCATAGTAAAAAACGCAAGACCTCTCATACACCCAGGACACACACGGACGCTTCCCGTTCTTGTCTGGTTAGGTTCAGCTGGACAGCGGGATGTAATCGATTGTCAAGCGACAGCCGCACTCAGGAAAGGGGAGGACCGCTCTCTGTCCGAGTAGATTTAATGCTGGTTCATTCAATAGAGCCACTCAGCGAACGCCACATACAGTTCAAATTCGTCGCCTTCCATCTGCATAGCCATTGCGTTCTGTTTCGGTTAGGAGTATTGCGATTGGTCATGCGGACACGTCCGAGGGAGTATACATTCACATGCGATTATTAGTGGTCTCGCGCTGTTTTGAAATTTGTCTTGGCAGGGTCGACTGGTAGATCCCCAGCATGTAAAACAACAGAGCGCGCCGTTGACGCAGATCGCAACGTCAGGCTCCAATTGCGAGAAGGATCTCGCTCGAACGTTGTACCTTAAACCATTCGGAAACACAATTTATCCCAATGCTGTTGCTCCTCCTTGTTAGACAACCATGGGCGTTCAATCGTGCCCTATGTAGTTCTTCCACATGGCACGAGACACACCAACACCATAGCCACACAACTGTTAGAACCACACGCTCTTTTGTTATATATATAGGTATATATATATATATATATATATATATAGATGCTTCGCCAATCTTTTTCCTGTCAGGCTCTACGATCTTTGAGGGCGTCGGCGAGCGAACAAGCATGCTTGCGTGAGAGATATGCCAGCGCCTGGAAGCACTCCCAGGTTAGAAACAAAGAACGTTAAATTTGAGATATAGAGGAATAGAGGGGCGGGACGGTGGGCCGAGAGACAACTGAGCCACAATGTTGACAGAAAGCGCGCGCGGTGCAATGCAAACGACACGAGAGGCGGCAGTCCAACACAGCTCAGCATACTCCTGCAAACATGTGTCATGCTTCGCCAATCTTTTCCCTGCCAGGCTCTACGATCTTTGAGGGCGTCGGCGAGCGAACAAGCAAGCTTGCGTGAGAGATATGCCAGCGCCTGGAAGCACTCCCACACCCACTTCCATGAAGTGTTCTGGGCGATCGCCCGCTAAA